TAGCATAGTCCTACCATCGAAACAGTGTTGATCAACCCTAAAACATGGTTTCTAAGAAGATTTGTAAGAACGACTAGGTACCCACCCCCAATTCACACTAATCATCATAATTTCACATATTCATGCTCAATCTAATTAGAAAGAAAGTTGTTACCCACTTGTAGGTTGACCACACGCACTTCAAATCACAACGTCAGAGCTTTTCCTTTCCAAACGGCATCCGAGTGCTTCCACGCTATCATGATAAGAATCACAATATTAGTACGATCATTAGATATTGAAGTCATATAAAATGGGAATTGACCAACTTTTGAGTCAAATGAGAATTGTGGAACCTGCAGCATAATTTTCAAAATTGACTCTGTCAAGAGGTCCTAAAGCAAGCTCCAAACTTCAGTTCCAAAATTGAACACAATATGGGGCCCGAATCAACGAACAACAACACATGAACAAATATCAACAAGAAATCCAAAAAAAGGATTGGGGCAGAAACTTCAATCTCAAATTCACCTCAAACGGAGGTTCACCAACACAACCCGATCACTCCACCTCATAGCCTCGACAATTACAAAGGCATGGGACTTTGAACTGTCATTCGAGTAGGACAAGCAATAAATCACCTTTTCATAGTTTGAATGAAAATTCCCTTGCGTCTATGTCTTATTTAAAGAAGGGATAAGACTTTTTCCATGAATGCGGAAGGCCTCGGCGAACGCAGCTAGGGCCCCGTAAACGCATCAAAAGGGGAAATCGGGTCCCCACTACCGCGATAGAGAGCCTGAAATACGTCCTTTATAAATGTGGTTAGGTCTCCATGAACGCGTCCCTCATGTCACTTGACCTCCGCGAACACGAAGACAAAATGTGTCCTTCACATGCTAATGCATATTCGCTGGTTTTGGCAAGTTCCAAAATCTCCAACGGGCGTTCTGAATTCGTTTGGAATCTTGTGCACATGAACAAGATATGCATATCTAACAAATTTGATATTCTTGACTCAATAGAGCAATTGAAACACCCATACAAGGTCATCTCGACAAAAAAATGGGTCCCACCTCTAAACTTCATTTTAAGTAAACATCTATAAAGGGGGCTCAGAATTAGTCCGGAAGCCTCAGGATCCAAACGAAGGTTCTAGACCAAAATCATTATTGAGGAGCTCACTGCGTTGCCGATTCTCATCCGAGCTCATTTACTTAGAATGTTGACTAAAGTTAAACTTAGGTCATTACTTGAAAGTCAAAATACCTAATCAAAAAGGCTTACATCGAAAGCTTGGGGAGTCGTGTCGACCATGCTATTAGCCTAAAATTACTCCTTCCAAGCTGATGGAAAAATTGGAATTGAATCTTGAGGTCATTTTGTTGAACTTTTGATCAACAATAATAGTTCAAGGTTCAAAAGCTTCAAACACGAAAACTCACACAAAAACCAAAGAACGATCAAGTGACCTAACTGTTAGTCCCAACAAGTTATAAATGACTTGGATTGCTATAGAAACACTCTAAGCAACAAATATAAGGTATAACATAAATAACTTGGAGGTTATTATAGTTTCTCGTCTAAGTATATGGGAACTTCATTAATGGGTCTCTGTTCACCTAATAAGTCCTAAAGAAACTCCGATTTCTTCAAGTTATGATTTTTCCAAAATTAGAAATTTTATGATATTCATGGGTTCTCACTTAAATTAAGTTTCTTGTTCATGAATAATATTAAATTGCATAATTTGATTATGATTTCATCTTTTCAATGATAGTTTCACGAACTCATAGCATTCAAGTATTTTATGACTCAAAATTATGCAATTTAAGATGCATGTCTCATATTATCAAATTTTCATTAATTAGGATGTTTTCCGATAAAATATCTTTTAGTATATTTTCAGATATCATGATTTAGATGCTTTTAGGTAAAAATAACTTTTAGGTTATGTTTATTTATCATGATTTATGAGCTACTCAATATTTATCGGTTATCAATATGATTTAGTAATATCATATACAGTTTCTAGATTTATGCATGTTTTCATTGCTAGTATGCCAAGCACCAAGTGGACTCTATGGATGAAGGATTCTGCTTAGCGTCCGTGGACCTTTAATAGCAATCTCAAAGTTCAAGAACTACGTGCTACCCTAGGATTAGTCTTTATAGATGTAGGCTAGTGCATCCACCTCAGCTCAGAGTTCAAGTCCCTTACATTGCAAGTATTTGGCACTCTCTTTTCAATGTGAGAGCAATACACTCAACTCTATGTAGTAGCTCGCATGGTTTATGCCGGTTTTAGTATCTCCCACAGTTTAAATTTTCAGAATATTGACCTCGTATTCAATTATTTCAGTTTCAGTATCTATTAGTTGCATGCTTTATAACTTGGTAATTGTATCAATTCATGTATTTCAATTTCATATTTAGTTTAGCATCTCATATTCATCATGTCCAGCTTTACAACTTATGATTCATATCTCACATACTCATACATATAAAGTACTGATCACATACTTCCTTTGCTTACATTTTCGATGTAGATTTGGGATCATAGTCAGACAGATCTCAACTTCCAGCCAGTAGGTGATGGGTTCTCTTATTTCGAGCACTCAAGTCAGTTTGTAGTTCTAGTATGTTATTTCTATTCGTAAGTACTAATTAAGGGGAGCAAGGGTCATGTCCAAGTGACTATGATAAGTATTACTAGAAACTTCATTGACAATCAATTAGAATTGTTATATTCGGGCTATTCTATTCTAGATTCTTTTCAGATTACAGTTGTTGTATAAAAAATTTGTTCAGAGATACATTGAACTAGTATTCCATAATTATGCTTTCGCTCAGTCATTCACATGTTCATGTTTAGTTGCTTATGACTATGCTAGTATCAAGGGTTAACTTGTGGTCACTGGTGACTCTAAGCACCATGCTAAGATTAGGGGGGCAGTCTCGAATCGTGACATCTTTGAAGGATTGCATCTAGAAAAATCACTACATGAATCCAGTAAAATCCTCAAAATTCTCATACGCCAATAATCACCACAATTACATATATCGACTTCCTCGATATTCTCTGAATTTTGTTATATACCTAAAAAAAAAAAAGAAGAAGAAGAATGGAAACAGAGTAGAAATATGAAAGAAGAGAGACATAAGAAGAAGAAAAAATAAGAGAGGAAGAAGATCAACAATGATAAAAATTGTGGATAGATATAGGATTTATAAAATAGAAGAGGATGTAAGTGTTGGGGGAAATTAATGTAAAACATATTCACAAACCCATGTTACGTGAATCACAGATGATGTGTTATGTAGATAAAAAGTGGGTTAAAGTATTTATTACACCCCTGAACCTGAAGCTTTTTATTCGGTGTACACCTAAATTTTATTTCATTTTAATTATCCACCTGAACTTGTTTATTCATCCAACACATGCACCTTTTTGTCCGATTACTCCAATCGTGTCTACACGCGCATGACACCTAGATAAATATTTTACCACCTAAATAAATATTAGCCACCTAGACAAATAGGTAACAACCATCAGTATCCTCACTTTTTTGTACTAACTCTCAAGTCAAGAAGGCTAGAATTTACCTGGTTAGATTTTGCAAATGGTGTGTTCCCAGAGAAAAAGTGCAGGTCTGGATGTGTGCGCTTGACATCTCGATCTATCTGTTCAATTATTTCCGTGTCCTAGAAGCAAATCACATAGAAGAATTTAGTAGTCACTTCAATGTTAAGCAACTGTCAGATTACTTATTTGCTTCTTTACCCCACCCCCACTCCAACCCACCCCACCCCCACACACTTTGTCATTGGTGTTTGTTCAAGTTGTGTGGATACAATTTTGCAATTAATTTGGCGGAGGAAGTGGGGTTAAGGATATGGGGGAGATTTATTACACATTACATTAATTGTTTATATAGTGATAGTTTTGTTTTGTTTTTGTTTGTTTTTTAAAACCAAATAATATAAGTGGTCTCCACATTCAAGCACCTTCTAATGTGCATTAAAGAGGCCGGTTGTCTGTTTCTTTCTTATTTTATTTTTACGTTCGATATCTATATTAAAATTCGATCAAATTAAATTTATAAATGATAAAATTTAATTCACATCTGGTGTGTATAGTAATCTACGTCTCTCCAATCTAGTAAGTTTTTCTTAATTTTTTCCAGCAAGTTTGTTACTTCTCTTTTATTTGTTGCAACAAATAAAAGGAAACTAGACTTTTTTTGTGTATAAAAATTCTAGGGCTTGACCAGTAGACTAATGAGTTTTTAGCGGAATTGCAAACAGTCAATTAGATAGCCCGAGTTTAAGATGTCAAGCCATCTATTTGCTACTCTTCTTTTCTAGACGTGGGTTTATCTTTTCTTGAAGTATAGCAAATCTATCATTACATATCAATAAGTAGTTTAAGAATGGTCAATTTGTCGATAATATAATTAATGTGATGTGTTGTTGATTATTTGTTTGCTTGTTTTGTTAATTCATGAATTTAGCAATAACAATTAAAATAAAAAAAAGAAGAAAATTCTAAAATTTGAAAAGAGAGAAGGGATTGGGGAGAATAAATAGCGAGAGAATAGAGAGAGAAAAATCTTTAAAGTAAGCTAAATATTAAAGAAAAATAGAAATTTTATGTATATTACCGTTGTAGCTTAATGACGTGGTAAAAAATTACTTCCTCACGCGCCTAGTAGAATGTGATTTCAAATTTTACGCCAGGTGAATAGAAAAGGTGCACAGGTTGGATGAATAAACAAGTTCAGGGGTAATTAGAACGAAATAAAATTTAGATGTACACCAAATAAAAAGCTTCAAGTTCAACGGTGTAATGAATATTTTTGCATAAAAAGTGCTTAAGTGGCTCAAATGTTGGATGGTAGAGATATTCAATAGGTAAAAGTCCTACTTATGTGCCCAAACAAAATATGTGGACAACTTTGAAGGTCTTGAGTGACTTGAACCATCTAATTTTTACATGGGGACAAATTGCAGAATTATGGTATGTTTTAAGCCACTTCCCTTTCCCATTTCAAGCTTAGAGAAGTTGTCCTTAGTTTTCTCAAAATATCAGTACGTTATGTTCAAGCATACATGATACCAAACTGTACAAGTCACCAGATTTACATACTCTCCTACTTAAGAAAAATCACTACTTAAGGGAACACAAACAATCAAACAATAGCTGTGGGTCGTTTAACAGTTACTTTAATGAAGCTTGTTGCTTACTTGGATACAACAGCAGATGCAAATAACTCATCAGCTAGAGAAGCAATTTGATCAAGTGCTGTGTTCGGGTCTAATGCTTTCAGCTTAAGCAGACTACTGACAGCAAATAGTCCCTATGATGCAGTCACTTTCTGATATCCCAGTGGCCAGCTTTACCAGTTTCCAACTGCACAAATTATATATCCTTCCATTTTACAAGGTGTATGCTCCCAAAATCTCTCTTATTTTCGTTGAAACTGAAATTTTTTGAGAGACAACTGGTGCACAGTCTGAAGTTTGGTGGATAATGGGCCTGTACCTTAACCCTTCTCCACTTAAATACTAGGATTCTGCCGGTGGCAGAGTTCAAACTTGTGATGTACACCTAATCCACACATCATGCGTTGTGTTCTAACCAATAGACGAAAGCCCTGAGGACTTCCTGAATTCCTCCTTTGAGGAACCAAAATCTCTGAGGTTCCTCACAACTTTTGGTAAAAAGGAATTCACACAACAAAAGAATATCCAATTGGTTGTACGAAAGAACCAATTTATAAGCATCTGGTAAGCAACTGTCCTTTCTCTGCAAAAGCAAAAGGTTGAGGTCACATTGACTGCAGTTGTAACAGCTCATTAAGGATTATGACTGGCTTGAAGACTTCCAAGTAGCTGGAAACATGTAGTTATTATTGCTGAACAGAAGATACATGTGTGCAATGTGCAGCAGAAGGCTCAGCAGAGACAATCTGTTGATTCAGACAAAATCCATTTGACCAGATTTCACATATAGCATGGGTATTTTGTCTTTGAAATCTCAAGAGCCTGAAAAAGTTGGACACAACAGTTAGTCTCAAAATAACCAAAAGCCTACGATTTAGTGGTCCTACAGAATTCTAGAGTAAGACAGGGAGAGACACATTGAGAATGCACGACTTGATTTCTCTTTGAAGCTACTATGGTTAAACAGTGTGTACGCATGTTCCAAAATAGAAGATAATGCAGATATTACTAGAATACAATCTCCCTAATTGATTATAATAGATTATTGTGCATTCCCTGGACCTAATTCATATATTATATCATATTTACAAATATCTTAGACAAAATAAATGAAATCCACTATATAAGTATTAATCAACAAGTAGGAAACCGACCAAAACAATTTAGTTCAAGTGAGTATTTAAAATAAGAAACTTTCTAAGAAGACAAGTCAAAAGACCAAACTGTCTTCTTGCAGAAAGTACTGCTTCATCCCACATTTGTCTTCAACTGGTCTGCTAGACAAGTGGCAGGTCAGAAAATGCAATGTCTTGGGACTGAACAAATTTCTAAAACAATAACACTTAACCCAAACCCCATTTGGCCTACATATGCATTTTCTTTGATCCTGTGCAGAAGTGACAAATTGGAAACACAATATTTGGGATTGCGAACGAATTTTCTCCGCATTGATACTCCCATCTAACTTCAAAGAATTATCACTCTCCATCCCATTTTCTGTGGAGGTGTTTGACTGGGTACAAGGTGTTAAGAAAGAAAAAAGACTTTGAACAACTTGTTTTAAAATGAGATTTATATGGCTATAAAATCATATCATTAGTAATATAAATTAAAACATTAAAGTTAAATTACTTCTGATATAGAAAGGTGTCACTTTTTTGGGGACAAATTAAAATGGGAAGTATGTGTTATAAAATGGCACAAAGGAGTAACATTTTGAGTGTGCCTGGGCACATGTGTTCATCTCGTTGGGAGGTACTCTCAATCAAAACCATAAAAAGATGGGAGTTACAGGAATTCAAAACACAGACCATAATGATCTTTGGATTTTAGACCTATCACTCATGTTTATAGTTTCTATAAGATATATGCAGTTGGTTTTTTCTGCTCAAACAATTCTTTGAAATGGGAAATTGGAAGGAAATAATTGAACTGGATAAGTCAACAAATCAGCAGATTCAAATGAAATTTTGAATGTTAACGAACGCGAGTCATATATCTGAGCGGCAAGAATGTTGAAAAGACAAATGAAGGAACAGGGACTTGGAGCATTCTGAGCCAGTTGAAAGATCTGACACCATGAGATGGAAGTTGGGGGGAAAATGCGATATTTCAGTCAAGTCCTTTATGAGAAGCTTTTGGTGAGAGCAGAGGAGGTTATTTCTGTACAGCCAATTTGGATTCCTAAGGTGCCAAGGAAGCTGTGCTTTTTCACATGATTAGCTGCTATAGGGGTGATTTTGATAGCAGAAAGCATTAGGAAAAGGAAGTTGTTTCTATCAGCTGGTGTTACTTATGCAAGGAGGTGGGCGAAGATGTAGATCATCTCTACTACACTGCAGTCTGGCCATAAGACTGGTGGAATATGTTCAATTAGGCTGGTATGTTTGCGGTGATGCCAAATTCAGTGAAGGATTTGTTGTTTTGCTGAAAGTTGGAAGAACAGGCATGGAATGTTGTTCCTCTGGCATTGACATGGATCATTTGGAGAGAGAAATAAGAGGGCTTTTGAAGGGCTAGAATTGAGTTTTGGGCAATTAAGGAGTAGTCTCTTATCCCTTATTTATATTTGGTGTGCCCATGTAGTTTCGGATTGTTTAAAGGATTGAATGTTTTTTGTAGAGAACCATTCTTCACTTTTAGGTATACTTCTTGTATATGCCGATTTTGACCTTTGATTTATGAAGTGAAACAATTTAACTGACCAAAAAAGAAAAAAGAAAAAAGAAACAAGCAGTTGAGGAAAAGTTGGTACATAATCCCAGCCCATAGTAGTGCTTTTGAAATAAATAGAACTTACCTTACTGATCAGAAAAAGAGTGAAATAAAAAGCAGGGAAACATCGTATGAGCATGGCAAGAAATTGCTTTCGTTTTATTTTATTTTTTACAAGTAATATAAGACTATTGATGTAAAGGAGTTGCATTTAAGTAATGCCTTTCCAATTGCAGTGAAGCATCAAATACAAAAAATAAATAAGAGATCCATAGCCACAAACTAAAATTTTTGGGATAAAACCATGGGGATTACCAAAAAGATCAAATGAATGAAAAAACAATCATATGACATCAACTTGCCAATCCAAACTACACACAAAAGGTAAGGCAGGGGTGGAACTATTCCAGGAAGAAAGGTAACGTTTGTTAGACCCTCACAGAAGTAGTATAAGAAGTAAAACTGTTACAGTGCTTTGCATCACCTGATAAATTTTGTGCTTAGTCAGCCACTTGCTGCCTGGATAAATTTAAATCCAGCTCTGCCAAGCCATTCGCCTGAATAATCTAATTTTCAATGCCACATTCCACGTTGAAATGGAAAAGTCTTTTGGTGGCTCACCTACATTTACAGGTTGTCCAATGCTACAACTGAGGAACTGAGAAGAATAAGCATCCATTATCCCAGTGTAGTCTGATCTCCATTCCAACCTGAAGTTTCTTCCCTCTAATGATTTTTCCCCATTTTCCAATGAGATTATAGTAACTCCCCCGCCATCTCAACTTCATCAAATAGGTATCACCAGTGTGATCATCTCGAGCATTAATATTCATCTGATGCTCATTTCTCAGTTGTTCTCTGGCTTGCTGTGACCAGTAAAAAAGAATATGATCTTCAACAGCCTTGCCGGGCAAAGTAAGAAATGGATGATTGGTATCCACATCAGACAATGTAAGTGCCTTCTTAATAGGCCAATTATCCATTGCCGAGGCTGTGGCAACATACCGCTCCTGGGGTACTGAGAAGAACAAGCAATCATTTTCCCAGCGTAATCTGATCTCTTTCCCAATACCAAGTCCCTTCTGCCGAATTATTGCTCCCCATTTCCCAATAAGGTTATAGAAATTCCCCCTCCACTTAAATTTCATTATATAACCTTCGCCAGTATCATAATCTCGGGCATTTACATTCACATGCTCCTCCTTCCTCAGCAGTTCTTGTTGCTGAGGTGTCCAATGCACAAGGATATGATCCTCAACTAATCGACGGGGCAGAGGGAGAAATGGATGATTGGTGTCCACATCAGAGAGCGTCAAGATCTTCTTAATGGGCCAATGGTCTTGCACTACCGGTGCTGCAACCATCCGAATTGGTGGGACTGCAACAATCTGCTGCTTTGGGACCGAGAAGTAGAAGCATCCATTTTCCCAACGTATTTTAATCTCTTGCCCTACATCAAGTCCTTTCCCTCGTACAACTCTGCCCCACTTACCAATCAGATTGTAATAGCTTCCCCGCCATTTCAACTTCATCACATACATCTTACCTGTATCATCATCTCGGGCATTAAAATCTATTTGGCCTTGGGTTCTCAAATGTTCCTGTTGTTCTGTTGTCATATGCAACACAATGTGGTTCTCCACTTGTTGTCGAGACAAAGTGAGGAATGGATGAGTGATATCTACATCAGACAACGTCAGAGCCTTTTTGATAGGCCAATGATCCTTCATTAGGGGTACACAGCTGTAGATCGCTGCTCTTTTCATTCCTACAACAACCACAGATACGAATCAAATTATAATCAACAACCGCCTAAATTGCAAGCCTTATAACACAAATAAATTTAACGACCAACATTTCAATCAAGTATGCCCTTAACCCAAACTACATTCAGAGGATTTACCTTAATTAGACAACATTTACCCTAGCAGTCAGCCTACCGTACTCCCCTCAAAATTTAACCTAGTACGTGATTAGATTCCAACATACATCACGCTAACGCTAACAACAAAATCATTTTGTACCAAAATTCTCACTTGATCATTAATTTAACATAGTAACAAGACAGAGAATACATGGATAAACTTATAATCAATTACTAATTGTTTCAGACCTAGTTAAAAATTAAATAACTGCAAAAGAAACAGACAAGAAAAGCTCACTGCTTTGAGACCAAAACACAGTACACCTACTCCTACTACTACCACTAAGCCTTAATTCCAAACTCATTGGGTCTGATATGTAAATCCTCAACACCCATTCAAATCTAACACCAAACATGCCCAAAAAAAAGAAAAAAAAACTTGAATGAAAACATATAAAGTCAATGATAAGAATCTTGATTTGCTACATTAATAAATTCATAAAGGCATCAGCTTTGATACTTAGACAAGAAAAAACAAAGATGATTCTAAGTTGTTACCAAAGTGGCAGTATGGTGAAGAAAAACGCTGAGAAAGAGATAGTTATTGGGGATGAGGTTAAGTATATGTGTGGATATATATTAGAGGAAAAAGTGAATCTTGGATCACAAGGGTTTGGAGGGCCAACAAGAAATAGTATGATGAACAACACATTTGATGAGAAGGAAAAGCATGTGAGAAGTGGTTTGAATTGGGGGAAATATAGAGGTAAGAAGGCAAATTGTCATGTTTTGATGATTGGGGTGATGGATGCTTTGTGTGAAAGAAGAAACAACAAAAGAGGGTCATTGGCCGACCCAATTGGTGTGATTAAGTATTTTACACAAAAATACCTCCATTCTACTACTCTTCTTCCACTTTAGTTGTTGGGTCAATCAATTTTTTTTATTTATTTCTTTCTTTAAATTTAAAATTACATTATTATGTTTTAATCAAGTCCAAACGAGTCCTCAGTTTCTATTATCTTGTGGAATTTTTTATTTTGAACTAGTCATGAAAATTGACAAGTAAATACATGTGTTATGACAACATTTTTTCTCAAAATTGTAATTATGGGTCTCGTAGTAAATGAGAAAAAATAATTAAAATCTCCCCCCTCCCCCCACCCCCAATCTTTAGTCTTTGTAATTTTTTCTTCGTATCTAACTTTACTATATCAACTAAGGTAAAAAAAAAACTAAATATTGAGATTGGGCAATTTCTATAAACCCATTCAGTCAAAATAGAATTACTTATATGAGTAGAGACTAAGAAAGGTTCTAAAAATATTTCAAGGCTCACGTAAAACTTCATAAAAATATAAGGAGTCACAAAAGACAAGGTAGATCTTGGATCTAGAAACGCATAAACATCATGTAAGACTCGCTACATACTACTGCCACATCTGGAGAACTCTCTTGATCATGTTGAGTTTCAAGAGCATAAAATATTTTGTGACGTTGTCCGCCACTAGAACTAGATGAAACACCTTGTTAAGTAGGTCGACCAAAAGAAAAATAGACTAAATTTTTCGATGACCATATTCGCCCTTGTTAACAATCCCTTTCAACTTTTTTACTTTGCCTTTTGAATCTCCAGATAATTATAATGAATGTGTTTAAAGTATTGTATCAATTTTTTATCCACAAACACTTTAAACTAATTAATTAACTATAAATATATAAAACTATTATGTAAAAAGTCTTATTATATATATTTTGAAAATTAGAATATTTATGAATAACTACTATTTTTATATAAAATTTTATTTTCACTTCATACATAACTTATCCACCATTAATCTAATATTATATGTTTCACCTTTTTTTTCCATAAAAAGAAAAGAAAAGAGTAAACATCCTATTTTATCACATTCATTTTTAAAGATGAAAATTAATATATATGTAAAATTATAAATACGAAGCCAAAAAAAAAGGTACAGATGAGCAAGGTAGTTAAGCATTCCATTTTATTTTTATCTCTATAGTGAAACTGAACATTTGAGCATATATATAAATTTAGAGCAACTTGCTTATAAAACAAAAATTCAACTATATGAAGAGAGACAAAAAAAATCTTATTATAATTCTTACTACAAATAAGTATAGAACTAACACATCAAGTTTCGATGCTTCAGTAATTGAATTCTTGTCTATTCTTGTGACTGCAGAAGGGACTCTCACAACTTTCGCCTCAAATTGTGACATTATTTCACATGTTTAGAGTTCCTACACACAAGAATTGTAGGAGTGGTAAATAAAAGTTTTTCTTGAAAAAGTTAAAATTTATAGAACAAAATTATGGAAACATGAAAAGTCACATGAATTATTGTTAAAAGAAATATAAAAAAGATAGAGATGAAATTTAATTTTAAAGATATATGAATCTACTTTAATTTCTTGTCTATAAGGAATAATTACTCATTTTTATTTTTATTTACATTTGTGTTAGAAATTTGAAAGGTCAAGATTATGAAATGAGAATAAGAAGATTATATATATGAAAATTATAAAAGTTTTAATTTATTAGATGGGCAAAATGGTAATTCAACTTTTAAGTTTTGAGCTTCCTGCTTATAATAATACTAGATTTTGAAAACGTGTGTTGCACATTTGTCCCTTGTAATTACTACAAAATATATGCATACTTAAAAAATTGAATTTCAAAATAGAAAATATATTTGTATTGCAGGCTACTTAGTATAAATATTCGTAAATTATGTCAATACAGTTACAATATGTATAAATAGTTATCATAAAATTAAGTAATCAAAAGAGAAAGAGTGTAACACCAAATTAGCTAATGAATTCGAAAATAAAATGAAATAGAGTAGACTAAAAACAATAAAATAGCTATTCTAAAACTTTTAAATAACAAAAATTAAAGAGAGAAATAGTTCTAGTTTATAAGAATAGAGGAACTTCCTCAATAACTAACAAAAGTATAAACAAATCTATCTCTTTTTTATTGCATATGTGATGAACAATACATTCATCAACAATTATCCATCAATAATTATACATTAGAATAACAAAGCGTATGCATCAACAAAAAGTAATTGTGTTGAACAATGTGTCAGTGTAATTACATCCACCAATAATCATTCATCAACAATTATACATCGGAATAACTAAGTGTATGCATTAATATAAAGTGATTTTGAAGATAATTTTTTGGTATTTATAGTTACAAGTTTGGAATTGTAAAAGTCATTTAAAAATTGATGATATACATAACGTCTATGAGAATTAGATTGTTTAAAGTTGGGAATATGTAAAGTTTCTTACTAAAATCTAAAAAATATGTGTCACATTAAGATGTCTGGTAATTCAAAGGACATTTTTGTTCTTTAATTTTAAAGGATATTTCGGATATAATTTACTGCCTTTTGTTGTTACGAAACACTTCATCTACCGAACTCTATTTTAGAATAAAAAACAAATTAAACATTTCTCTAATTAATCCTACCTAGAAACATAATGGATTAATATTATATAAGTATTATTTAAGTAATGTTTTATTAATTAGTTCTTTAATAATATTTAAATTAGTAAAGAGTAGAATCATAATCCTAATTTAAAGTTAAGATCTTCACTACACATTTTTTCAAAAAAAGTATAAAGATTAATTTATGTTTAAAAATTAAAAGGAGTATATACTCCTTAAAATGAGTATAAATAATCTATGAGATTTTTTATCCAAATATTTTTTTTCTAGATAGAATAAATGAAATAATAAGTTCTAAATTCAATCAATAAAAACATAAAGTTGCAGAATATAAAATTATTTAGCAATACTGTTTTTCTTCTTCAACGCTTCCTCTTCTTTCGTTATTAGGGGTATTTATTTACAAATATGAAATCACACCATGATTTTATTTTCATACAAGTAGTAAATCATTTATAAATTCTAAAAAAGCACATTAAATATAAACATGAATTATTCAATCCTCTTATGTAATAACCTAGAGTGTTCACTACATGATAATCAACTTGTTATACCAAACATAATATTTAAAAGAAGATTTGTACATCAAACATGTAAATGAAAAAATTTCTTTTCTTTTTCATTGCCATTATACAAGAAAAAGTAGTCAATTTACCTTTCTTCAACCGAAAAATTGAGTGTAACAAACAATGAACTAAGTAAAAATATGCAACATTGAAATGAAAAATAATACTTACCAAACAACAAATAAATGTCCATGACGCCTTTAACCTTCTTGAAGAATGCATCGAATACACTGAAATGATTAAATTCTAATTCAGATACTATATTCTCCAAAAATTTACCGTCAATAAATTAACGAAACAACATACATATTCTTCCTCACACAAGTAGGTTTGTTTTACCTCATGAATGTTGAGCAGACTTTTTGTCTAAATGAAAAACTCTCTAGAATTATTTATCACCTGTTGCGTTAAAATCATAAATTTTCGATGAGTAGAATGAAACAAAACATGTAATATTAGTTCTATCTATATATACATATATGTCTAAAATTTATTGATCAAAAGAAACATGAAAAATTTGAAGAAGAATTTTGTGAGATAAATCAATTCACATGCTATTGTCATGAGAAGACATCAAAATAATATTTTTTGTTGAAAAAATGATGTATATAATTTTATCAATGGAACTCTTTAAATTCTTTAACTTAAAATTAAATAAGAGATGTTTTGAAATGTTTGAACTTCATTTGTTTGAATGACTATTTATCTTTCATTATATCTTTATTACTTTAAAGTTTACTATCTAATTATTTATTAAAAATACTTTTACATTTTAAAAAAAAATATTTAAGTGAAGGGTAAAATGATAATTCAACTTTGAGTTTAGGAGCTTCCCACTTATAATAATATATGATATGATGGGGATAGAATCCCTTTAGAAGCACTCAACTTAGACACCGGATCACTAGAACAAAATGGGTCCAGGACTGAATACTTTGCCGAAACTAACGACAACCACCACCAGATCTCTGATAAGAGTAATCAACATTATCGGTCCACGCCTGCTTAGTCTTCCTAGCACTTTCCTTAAGCTTCTCTTTCTCAATATTTTAAGCATGAGTCATCAACCTCAAAATATCCATTTGTTTGATCGACATGATTGTCCTACACTTTTTGACAACCATTTTTTAGACAACAAAACAAACTTGCTCATCCGAGCTCTAGAGCCTGCAACTATTGTCGGAGCATACTTCAATAATTGAGTGAACTTCAAAGTGTATTCATTCACACTCATATTTTCTTGCTTCAAATTGATGAACTCTTGCATCTTAGATTCTCTCATGTGAAGAGGAAGAATCGATGTAAAAAGCACCCTTGAACTTGTCCCAATCCAAAGGACCAACATCAATATCCTTTCTTCCTTCCATCAATTGAATTATACTTGAGATTTCACTTTTAATTAGTAAGTATCCAAGTTTTTCTTTACAGACAGAGTCAAACCATAATGTCCACAATATTTTGAGTCCCCTTAACAAACTCTTGTGGACCTCATCCACATTAGAACCATGTAATTCCAAAGGAATTATCCTTTTGAAGTCACAAACCCTAGTCGTTTTTGTACCTATATTTGGGTTCACATGAGTTATAACCTCACTATTAGCTTGCACAATCATAGCTTGGGTAAGCATTTGAAAAAGAAGCCTTACACTAGCAAGTGAGACTTACTCTGCAAAGATCGGTCGGAGCTTGAGTTATTTTGGGTTCAGCATTCAAATTTCTTGTTATGGGAGCTCTTTTTGGAGGCATATTCTGAAAATGCATAGAAGAAGATTTAGAAGGAAGCTTTTATAAAGCTCAACTCTATCGCACAACATCATAAATATGGAAAAAGACTCTACTTA